CTTCCTAGTGCAGAAATTTGGAAAATGTACTCTAACCCTTTTTTTAATAACGCTGACAGCGGTTGTATTTTGGTGATTCCAGTTAGTTTCAAAAGTGTTGAATCATGTGGTTAGCAAAGAAGCATATAGCTATCTCAAGGACTTTCCGTCAAACACCAATTGTCTCTCCGACTTTCTCAATGCTAAATTAGTACAACGGTGGGAAAGAAAACCAAGCAGAGATGCACTTTCTATGGAGAAGAAATAGTTAACGTCCGCTAGAGTAATTATGGGGAGAACAAGAAAAAAAATTGAGGCATGAAATGACTTCGGCAAATGAAAGGGAGGTTGAAGAGGCTCTGAGCTTATTCATGGCCCGATAGACTATGCATTCATAAGTATTATGGAGAAATTATGTTACAAACAAACCTCCCGGAGAGGGTAGAGAAATAATAGGAAGTCGACAAATCAATAAGTAATGAGCTATTGGAGCTAATGAGATGATTAAAACAAATGGAACTCACGCCAAGTCGGTCATCAGTGACGAAATTCATTGTAGCGGTGTCAGATCCCTAAAACTGATGAAAAGTAGTAGGTTTATGGAAATTTCTTAGAAAAATATTTTACCTGACTTTCCCTTCGAGTTCTCGAAGTGCGCGAGTCCACCACTCTTGACGTAGTACCGCCTTTTTTTGCGGCAAACTCGTCCACAAGGCGTACACGACCACCTTCACCCATTGTAGTTGTGTGGAAGCAAGCTGGTGAGTACCACGACCTGCCTCGTGTGCGATCAGTCGAACTCACGTCGTCGCCTCCGAGGCCTAGCGACGCAAGCCGAGCAACTCGATCCGTGTTATGTCTGGCCCCGCTCAATGTTCCGCGCTATTTCATAGCTTGACGTTGACTGTACAGATCATCAAACAATCGTGGAAACCCCCGACGCTCGGCCTGAGCGCAACTGGAAAATGCGCATGGCAAAGAAATACGCGTGCATCATCACAGCAATAGTTCTTTTCTTGTAAAACAAGTTTTTAAAGCCTTAAGGGAGCATTAAATCGGGTTAGCTAGTACGATTGGGTAATTTTCAAGCTTTCTCGCGCAGCTAAGCTGTTTAGGCCTAATTTTGCGCCATGTCCTGGTTACCTCACGCCACTACGCAAGCGATATTAGCAACCCCGAATTCTCTAAAAAGTTGAAAGCTTTCTGTTTACCCAATATAAGAACCTATAGATTGCCATATCGTCTTACAAAAACCATAATCAAAATAATCTCTTGAGTTTCTCTCAGTCTCAGATGTCAACTCAACTCATTAGTAACAGGATCATATGCAAAAGAACCCAAATATGCTAAATTTCATTATGCAACCTATTTAAGGCCGGCTTTCCAATTCAAATGATTGACGTCCCAAAAATCATTGTCTCAGTTAAAAGTGA